AGAGGGGTCCTTGTTTTGTTTTTTAGGTTAATTTGTTTCCATACTATACATCATGAAAGTCTCTTAAAGCCATGTCTGCTAGATCCAGCTTATTGACCTTATGCGACCCAGAAGTGTCTCTCAAGTCTATTTTGGGTAGCCCACCATGTTATGAACTGCAATATGTTTTTCTTGAGCCTCAGTCCCGGGGCGCGAGATTAAGTCTGAACCTCTATCCTGGATTATCCTTGCAGCCTTTGGGAAACACTCATAATCGTGAATGTCTCCACCTGAAATGAAGGTCAAAAGGAAAATGGGATTTGACTGAGCTCTTGAGCTTCCAGTTTTAGCACCCTTTATAGTACTTTAAAGATAAGTACATTGGCATTTTTTGGCACTTTCAACAAATAGTTTTGGCAATAGATCTTGAGAGAAAACCTTTCGAATTTCCCAAAAACATCTTAAAAACGTGTCTAATGGTTGTAACTAAAATTATAAATCTAGACTGCAGGTTGCTTCCTCCTACTTTTGTATAAAATGTAATCTGTATACAGGTTTACAAAAAGCCTCTGCATATGTTTTATAGTGTCCCTTGATTTTACAAACTCTATCCAGCTCCTTTAAGGAAAATTGAAAAGCATTCAATTCTGGCACACATTTAAATGAAGGCTGGATAAATCTTGCTAACCGCCATCGGAAACAAGAACGTAAGACTGCTGCTGTCTTGTGCCATATTACCCGGAGGCGACAGGCACAATTTACAGTCTATGACTATAAAACAATTCAAAGGGGATGTTGATTAACAAAATGGACGCCAAGGTGGGTTCGAGTGATAGCGGAAAACACTGTGGTGAGTTAGAGATTGTCAGCTGGAATTTCATGTTTGGGAGGAAGGAAAAACAGGACGAGTAGAGAGAAAACAGGAAGAGTTGAGTCAAAAGTTACGGTTGCCTACTATGCATTGCAATACATATTAACCTATGTTGTTGTTTTCTATGGGTTAAATGGAATTTGAGTGAAATACCCGCTCTATTTTGTACATGTTGTTATGACAGGAAAGTGTTGGTATTTGTCTGTGCATAGTGACACAGATACACAGACAAACATTTGCACGCATGCACACACACAAAAGCCAGTATTGAATATGCCAAAAGAATCATCTGTAGCTTCAGAGGTTAACTGATCATTACACTCTCCATATGTTTAAAGAGAGCTGCGCTGGAAATGGAAAGCACATCATCATTATACTGTATATCTTTCCGACTTTGGTGATGAAACGATGACCTGGGGGTAATTAGCACAGATGTTTGTGGCATACTTGGTAAATTGCTTTCTGTATATGCATATCAATATTTAAGCACAAACCAACTATGGGATTTTGCTTTGATAGGCTTCCACACATCGATTTTAATACTCTGGATATTTGACTGACCTTCTGTAGAAGAAGACATCGATGGGTGGAGTAAGTAGTGGCGATAAAAACAAAGCAACAGATTTTGAATTGGATAAGACAGGCGACACCCTCTAATACTGATGGTAACAAGAAAATTGTCCTGCCTCCATATTTGTTAGTGTTTGCACATTATTGTCATATTTTCCATTTGTTTGAATGACTTTCACGATAGCTCAATGTGAAGCATGAGGCTTGTTATTTCCTCCGCGTTCGACTGATGTATTGGTTTGACCTTTTATATCGGTCAGCGATGCCATTTACCCCCCCGCATGATTGAGAGTCCTCCCTGAACGCTGCTGGATGAAAACCAAATATGCTGCAATTAAATTGTTTTTGATTTTCTTGAAAATCTTTTTTGTGCCGATTATTGTTCAATAATAGTCTATTAAATGCAGGAATACATTCTACAGTTATCAGAACAATAGCAAAGGTGCAGACCACTGCTTTATTTAAGCACCAAAAATGTAAACGTGTCTTACTCGGGGACCTTTGGTAGATGAATAGATTATTTTTTGGGGCATGGAAATATAAGTAAATAAATTGTTTGCAGCTCTTGTACAAAAAATGTGTATTCGCAATGCTTTTATATAATTAAAATCAACAAGATCTGTATTGTTTGTAATTAAAAACAGCCACATTTTGCATTTTTTGGGAAACAAAATGCTGCTGTACACTTTTCAGAAAGAGTGCTATGAATGTTTAGCCCTAGGGCAGCAATTTGAAATACAGGCTTCGATGTTTGATATCAAACTAGCTGCAACTAGAGAAAATATAGAAAAACAAAAAACATTGGGTTGAACAACTAGTACCATAAGTAGAGTACCATAATGAATAATGCAATCTCCCTCAAAGGGAATCATTATGAAACTTATTGAAGATCAATTTGTTTTTGTATCCTTGCTTTGCTTTGACACAGATCAGCTGGCAAGTATGACTGCATGGGAATAAGAGATGAACATTAAAAAAACTCAATCAATGCATTCAATCCTGCAAGACATATTGTGGGTATGTTGTCAAGAAGGAACTTTAAAACGTTGTTTGGCTACTTTCCTATAATGTGATAATGTGCTCCAGACAATGACAGGGTTTATTAATGCTCTACCTGTTGTGGAATGTCAATTTGTAATTGTACAGTCCCATCTACATGGATACAAAATGTTGCCGTAGCAGTCGTGAAGTCTTCCCCAGATTGTACTACTGCGGTGTATCACACATAAACAAACTGTAAACTAATGCAGCTCTCCTGTTTTGTCCAATATATTGCCTTCTCGTTTATGCATTGAGCAAAAAGCAGCTTGAACAGCGTAATATACACAGTACAGGACATAATAGAAAAAGATTACAGAGGACAAAGCATTGATTTTCAGGTTCGATCGATACATTACGGCAGCGAGCACATTTGGCTGTGTTTGTAAGTTTGTAACACAGGAAGCACGCAGATTAATGAGACAACTTGTCGAAACAAATGGAGGAGGAAAGCAGCTTTGTGCTGTAGAAGCTAAAGGAGATGCAGTATCTGCAGGTCAGTAACAACTGTACTCCAGAAAGTACTTTATTTTGTGTTTTCACTTCCTTAATTATCTAATTAGATTGTTCTAATTAACAAAATAATAATCCATGGTGAGGTGTGTCTTTCTCAAAATATGTCGGAAACACTATACGGTACAGAAAACATCTTATTTTCTTTCTGCACAATGACTCTTACGCACTGATACCCTCAATTGATTCTTAAATAGACCTCCTACAGAGTATAACACGCTTTTCTCTCTTAAAACAATGCTACATGCCAGAACACTTTATAAATGGTCACCACAAAGGGACCCTTCCTGCAGTTCTTTTTAATAACTCTGCAGAAAATGAAGCTTAACTCGCCGTGACCACTGGACCAAAAAGCTTAATGTTAATCTTTTGCTATTATAAGTGAAAAGCTTCTGGTAAAAGTCGGGTCTATTATTTTGGACAAAGAGGGCTCTTTATGGCACGAGGCAGCTATCAAATGTGGTGCTATCAATCATGTCGTGCATTAGCGTGCGATCGTCTCCTAAAGTTAGAAATACAATACATCAACATCCTCACGCTAACACAATATGTAAATATTCTTAATAAGGGTAGACATGTTTTCCAATACACTGAGTAAAAGATGGCACTCAAATATAACAATGTAAGGTGTGAGAATAAAAAGTAATTAATAGTGTCACACACATTTCACATGTTATTGTTGTTGTGATAGAAAAGTCACCACAAACACTGCTTTGCATTATCATTGTTGTTGTAAAAAGACATTGTTTGTAGTATTTTTTGCGCTCTTTACCCATCGAATGCAAGTCCCTTATAGGTTGCATCCTTGTTGATTATTTTCTAAAGGATACATTAGTCCTTGATTGATTTCCTACCTCTGAGCATCAATTGATTTTGTTTTAAGTAAAGAGAGAACAGTGGGCACTTGCAGATCCTGGAAATGGGATATAAATCAAAGAAAGCATCACGTGTGCTCCTACTGGTGTGGTTTGATAGTTATGAAGTCAGATTGAACTGGCATGTATAAGAATTAGGAGCCACCATGGTTAGAGCAAAAAGAAAATAAAGAAAGTAAGAAAAAAGTTCACTTCTTACCTTTTCCATGTTTCTTCTTTCTTCTTGTGTTGGTCAAATATTACATAATATCACTTTATAATCCTTAAAAAATAATAATCCAAAAGCACAACATGTTCACTAGCCAAACAGGTGAGAAACCACTGAGCTGGATAAGCTAAGATACATTTCTTGAACAGTTCTGATGATGGGGTTATAGTGTTTTCCACTTTACTGTTACCACTAAAGGCCATAAGACAGTGTGTCGCTGAGTCGGCCACATTTGATGTAATCTAAAACTACTTCTGAAGACTTTAAATCAGGGGTGTCTAAACTACGGCCCGGGGACCAAATGCGGCCCGCGGACCATTTTGAATCGGCCCTCAGCAAATTCAAAAGGTATAATGGAATATGGCCCACAAATGAAACTTGTGCTTGTCTTATATTGTACTTCTTAAATATAAATGTAAAAATATATTACACAGTAGTATTCATGACCACTTTTCAAATACATTCAGTCAATGTAAGTTGGAAACATTTTCTAACATATCTTAGTTGATAAGAAAAAAGCCCAATGACTTATTAACATAACAAGCTTGAAATACACCCTTCCTATTTCTCCTTATTATAATCAATCTGAGGCTTCTGTTTTAAGGGATGAGCTGCCGACACTCACAAGCATCATTTACCTACATTTCATTGATTTTGCTAACTTATACATGAACCTATGAGGCAGTATACCTCTAGTGAGCGGCCCAGCCCTTCGTATATTTTTCTGTATGTGGCCCTCAGTGAAAAAAGTTTGGACACCCTTGCTTTAAACCAACATAAGTCTGACTGGTTTTCTTACGAGGGAATTCAGATTTTACAGCAACTGTCGATCAATCCTTTAATTGCAGTTTAGTATAATTAACCCTATAGAGACCAGTGGAATATTTGACCAAAGTAGACTCTCCCTACCATTCTTCCCCGTGAGGCATAATAAAGCTGTACTCACGGTCATTGCAGAACGGCCCCCCGTAGGTGGTCATGGTGCAGTCGCAGGAGAAGCCCTCCCACAGCTGCAGACACACTCCCTGGTGCTGACAGGAGTCCTCGGTGCAGGTGGTGCTGGGGCCTGCAGGGGGGGGACAGCAGGTTAACCAGGCGCCCTGTCCTTATTTTATTAATGCATCTTCACTACTATCCAAAGGGAATACTACTGCACCTGTAGGCTTGTCATTGAAACCAGGAAAATGTAACATAATGTTTGTTGGGGAAATATTTTCCAAGGCCCATAACTTTGACCCAGTTTATCAGTTCATACTGTCCTGACTGAGCACACGCACCTGTAACCTTGGCTGCTGTGCTCTCAGTGTTTTGTCTCCCTGTTCCTGCCTGTTGGCGTCAGCTGATAGAGGTGTTATGATTCTATGTTCCTGCCTGTTGGCGTCAGCTGATAGAGGTGTTATGATTCTATCTTGTTATGCACAATGTGGATTATTCTCTCTGCACTAGCTAAATACATGGGTCTGGGGTAGAGTTCTTCAGAATTGACGTGGCAACTCTACCGTGAAGTCAGAACCTCTGACTCTTTGACTTGTTTTGTGAATTCTCCGGCCGAAGCTCCAAATAAACCCATCAGTGTTTGACATCAAAGCTCCAGCTCTCCCCGTGTCTCCTTTGAGTCGGTGACTCCTCCTGCATTGCTACACAGAAGTTTCCCCCACAATGTTTTTACTTTAGCATGTATTCTACACGATTCCACTAAAAAGCATTCAGCCACAGCAAGTTAACTTGAATGGCACTTAAGAGACAACCCTCAGATAGGCTGATTTACATTGTTGCTTACTTATCAGATGCTTTTACCCAAAGCGACTTACATACACTCAATACTCTCATTTCATTTCAGTGTGTTTATGGGCATTAGGTTTAAATGTGCAAGCAACACGTACACTACAAAGACGATGTGTTGTTTTTATTGCCCAGAGTGTTAAGCAACACGTCAAGATTTGCAGAGGTCTTGTTCCCACACGACCTACATGTCATATACCTATTATATATGAATATAATAATAGTACACAAATGCTGAACGCTCACATTGTAAACAACATATTAAACAACTTAATAATGATCTCCATAAAAGCAATGTGATTAACTCTGACAAGATTCTGTGTGTGTGAAGTCTTAACACAAAACAAAAAATGCTGTGCGCACTCAAGAGAACAATTAATATAATCCTGTCTTCATTTTGGAAACCCTTAGAACACATCATTCACTACTTATCATTAAATCTCCTCATTAATAACTCATACAATTTGTTTGATACTGGAGACTTTATGTCCTTTACCTTTGCGTCACCATTGAGCCAAACTTTGAGTACACTCTCAGATCTACTCTGCCATATCCTGTGAAGTGTTTTCTGTGAAGGTAATTTCTACCTGGGATATTAATCAATATTATTAAGTATTTTCAGTCAACGTTTTCCTGATTGCTCTCTTGTTTGAGTACAATTCAACCAAAGCCACTGGAGTTCTTGATATTATTATTACATGTTCGCTATCATAATAAAACATAATAAGATATGTTCTGTGGCATAATGGAGCAATCAACAAAGCTGTTTATTACCAGAACACATGCAGTGTAATTAGCTTTTGGTAAACGCTGACTTCCTCTGGTTTCATGTGTGCTGTGTGCCGATGAAATCAGATTACAGGAGCATTCTCTTTTCATTGTGCCCAGCGTGTTCCCAGCTCACCTCCACAGCCGGGCTCCACCTCTCCGACCTTGTGAAGGGCGTCGGCCAGCAGGTCGGGGAGTCTCCCGTTCAGGTCCACAGACGCCAGGCAGCCCTGGTACCCTTCCCGGGATGCTATTAACCTCGGCAGGCTGCTGTACATGCTCTTCCCAACACCACCAATGTACAGCTCGCCTGTTGTTGTAGAAATGTATCATTAAGTCTCATTTCATTACTGTAACTTCATTCTCTGGTTTCTATTTTCCCACGGTTTGAATTCACATCTAGCTTCTAATTTGCACTTCCTTAGGACAGACAAAAGGCTGTCTATTCAACCATTGGTTTGTCATTTGTAAAAGGTATAAGGACACGATTTTAACAAGATATAGGGATGACGCTGTTTAATCATAACTGGGTGTTTGCAGTTTGCACATTTATTTATTGAGGTAAAATATAATTTACCTCCATTATGTATTTGTTAGTTTATTTGTTTGTTTATTTATCTGCTTATTTGTTTGTGTATTTATCAGAGTAGACATGCTCATATTCTTAAACAAGAATTGAGTATTGAATAGCTGCATTCTGTGCATAGGCCCTGTTATAGGTTGTTGATCTCTGTTGTAATAGGGTTACGTTACCCTAACCCGTTATGTTGTTCGCGTATGATCCCTCTTTCATTTAAAAACCAAGTTATGTTTTAGGCATGAAAGCTGTAGCCCTATAGCTGTCAACTGTTCAAACTGTGATCAGCAGTTCAATACATTTGACAAATTCGACTTGGTTTCTATACTTATTTGAACATGTATTTATTTATTTTTCAAAATAAAATAAAAAAATGTTGTCAACATTTTTCCCACATTTCTTTTTTTTTTTTACAGGATATGTACATTTCGGTTAATCGGTTAACCGTTTTTTTGGGGGTTGAATATTCGAATATACATTTGCTTTCAAATTCCCATCCCTAATATATATTTAAGCAATAGCTCACGACAGGCCGTGGTATATGCTCAGTATATCACAGCTAAGGGGCGTGGTTCGGCCCGACGCGAAGCAGGCAGTTTGCTTTTCAGCCCAACTGTATACAGTTTTTCTCAGACGCGGAGGGATACTGACTTGTTGTGAAAAGTAACTACAATTCTACCCGTGGTATACGCTCAGTATATCACGGCTAAGAACCAATCAGATTGCTTGATTTGACTTGTCCGTTTTATAAATGTTAATAATTCAGTTTTTGGGTGAAGGGGTGGGATTAAATAAGTGTAAACTTCTTCCCACCCCTTTTCGGATGTGTAATAAAGTAGATCATTTGTTTATACATAAGTTAGAATCAGTAATATTTGTTTATATCAATTTGCTTAATTTTGTATTGTATAATAATTCTCATGTTACATTTTTGTCTTATTGTTTTACACATTCAAAATAAATCAAATCAAATCAAAAATAATTAACATGTATGCAAGTTTCCACCGTCTGGCCAACACTCCCTGTAATGTGAATTCGCTGAAGACCTTCCCCTTCCCTTGCTCTCGAGTGTATAAAGTGTTTGTATTTTCTGTTGTAAGATCTTGTACAAACCTTTAGGTGCAAAGATTCTGTCCTTTCAGCTGAAATAGATGAACTCTGTGAAATGCTTTTGACTTTTATTGACTTTATTCAATAACAAAACCTTGCTTTAAACTTCTATTATTTCTTCATTTCTTGCCAAACAGGTTATTTTTGTTTTTGTGTGGAATTTCCTCCATACCTGTGAGATACAGAAGTCTTTCCTTTCATTTAATCCATAATTTAATTAAGAAATGTAATTCTGCGTTTTAGCATTTAGGTCATTTAGTTAGTGGTTGACCGGACTACATTATATTAAAAGCTGTTTCCAATACAACTCATGTGTGAAGAGGACAACAATTTTAGAACAAACGTGAATCATTTTACACATTTTGGACAATCTCATTATACATTTTGTAAAAGTGGAGTCTTTTGAATGGTGCCTGCTTCTAGTTGTTGCTACATGCTAAACATGTGCCTGTATTTGTGTTAACATACAGTATATAGGCACAAAATACATTGAGAAATACTATAAAAAGTCATATTTTATCATGAAATCTTGTACTAATCTCAATTGTATTTTTTACTTTGTTGTATTCACTGTGTCCCTTGATACACTCTTTTGATTTGTCCAGTTAATTACCTTTCAAATCCAGGTTGCGGGCTCCATTGGCGTGTTGGGTGACGGTGCGGGAATCAATCTTGAGGATGTGCACGTTGCTGTTGTCCCGGGAGATCATCACATTGTGCCACTGGTTGTCATTAAGTTGCTTGTCAGAGTTTCCCTTCATTAGCGACGGCCCATTTCCCAAGTCGAAAACATAATGAACGTACCTACACAACAATACAGATTATTACATTTAGTGTTTCTTTTGTGTTCGTTTGCTCCAATATGCTGTTATGGGATCACACTGTAGAAAATAAGCACCTCAAGCTGCGTAAACTGCTGTGCTTTGCGATATAACAACTGAGGGGTGGGGGTCAAAGTCAGAAATGCTCTTTGTTGACACAGATAACAGTGAATGAATGACGACAAACGGCAAAACGTTACATCATGTTGAAATTACATTTGATCACCACACAGAGTGCACTGTCAAAAAACGGAATCTTGTTTAAATCAAAGTTAAGCAGCATCTATTTCAAAGTTAAGCAGCATCTATTTCAAAGCTGCCACACTTCACACTAAATATTGAGCAGCCTGGAAAACAATGACAGAAGCGTTGGAAGCCATTTCTCGTCTGTGTTGTCTGTGCGACTTCTGCTGCAGGCTGCGGAGCCGAACAAGGCCTCCTGCTGAATAATTGCTAACTGGGAAAAGAGTCTGTGCAAGGTTTGACAGAGGAAAACTACAATCGTTGCTTTGCTTGCTCAGTTTCGACAACCCTTCTCTGCTAATCTGTCAGTGGCAACAAATTATCTACACTGAATAAAACATGAGGAACATATATCTGTTGCCAAATGTGTTTGTGTGAGAATGACACCGGTGCTCTGGTGATGGCGGTTATTGTTTTTGTAGTCATACTTCCTCTATCAGCATCCCTCCCTATACCAAAATAATTTATGATGACAACATTTCGATGCTATTTTGTGTGCCTCTCCACTGCTGCAGGCTGATTCATTGAAGAAATGAATCATGATTAAGACATTTTGAGCCCAAACAAGGAGAAAAGTAGAAAATGCACTCTTCAAGGCGCCTTAAGCTTTGCAAGACTAATATTTTTGCACTGATGGATATCAGAACTGCACACTTTCGCCAACTAATCGGCTAAGTCGCTTAGGATTACTTTAGTCATTTTTAATATTCTTTTTCCTGCTGAATGACTCATTTCCCGAAGAATTCTGAGCACATCTCTGGTGAACAGAACATTAACGGGTTTGCTTTTATGGTTCTTTGTGGGGACACAACTCAACTAACAGTTTAGTTAGAGACAGCTCTAGTAGTAGTAACTTTACACTGACTTCCTGTATGTCAAATCATTGATTTCAAAATACTGTTGCTGGTCTATAAAGCATTGAATGGTTTAGGGCCAAAATACATTTGTAATCTCCTGCTAAATTATTACATTTGCTTTTAAATTAGTGTTTTTAAATATAATATGTTTCTGCGGTACTATTTCTTAATGCTCTTAGTGTCTTTCATTTTTGTAAAGCACTTTGAATTACCTTGTGTTGAAAGGTGCTATATAAATAAACTTGCCTTACCCAAAGCCCCTTCTATACTTATCTGAGTCCAAACAAACATCACTTACCCTTTGACCAGCTCCACCACGATGAAGTCACTACCATCTCCAGAGTTGTAAAGTATCAGCCCGTCAGGACTGGTGGTCTTGAACTGAAAGAAGAGGTGCATGGAGATGTAGGCCTGCAAGGTGGAGAAGGCCAGATAGCTGGCCTGCGCTGTGAAAGTCACAGGATTGGCCACAATGTGCCTCATGCCGAACCGAGCATTCAGCTCGCAGTAGGAGATGTCTCCGTTCTTGCACTGGTCCAGATACAGCATCCCGTTGAAGGAGAGAGCTTGCAGATGGCCGATAAAGTTGGAAGGCATCACGGAGATGAACCGCCGCTCTGTCATGATCCCCGTCTCGATGTTGTTGAATTCCAGGCGGGTGTGGGCGCCTGTCATGTGGCCTAGGGGACAAAAAAGAAGCTCAGATTTCAACTACCTTTCAATATCTGCAGCTCAGTAAGCACAGCTCCTTCAATCCTGCTACACACCTTCCACTGTCACATTGTCCACAGAGAGCTGCAAATTCTTCCCACGCCGCACCACCTTCACGGTGTGCCACTCATTGTCATTCAGCTTCTCGCCTACCAACAGTACCTCTGGACCCTTGCCTGAGAGGAGTAAAGTGAGTAAAGTGACAATCATACCACAGCAGCTCAGTATACATCCTTTAAACATGAGGCTCACTTCACAGGGTCGATGCATTCATCCACTTCCAGAACAACAGACACACACACAGACATCAACATTTACCGGCATCCAATACTTTGCATTCACAACACAGTTTGAGGATCAAATAAATCAAAGTAGCTCCTTTTCTGTAAGGGTTATTTTCAGGCTCGGGGAGCAACGGATTACATTTAATGGGATTACGAAAAATAGTTAAGTGTATTCCTTACATTAATAAAAGAGTTAATCAGATTAATGTTACATTTAAAAAGAAAAAACGGGGATTACTAGCAGGATTACAATGCTAGAAACCTAAGAAAGAGCACATTGTGTTTGCTTTTAAAGGAGCACATGTTACTGTTGTACTGTTCTGTAGGCTAATAAATCCAAAATAACATGTTTAATTAAATAAGGTTACATTGTCCTGTTGTCTTACATAATACACTAAGTAAAAAACATCTTATTGAAATGTATTTTGTATTATTTGCATTGCATTTTTCATTGAGGTGATTCAAAAGTAACAGAAGGTAATCAGGGTACTTTTATTTTCTGATACTCAGATTAGGTTGCTGGTTAAATCTTTATTACAGGTAACTTGTAATGTTAAAAAATGTTATGTTCGTAAATGTTGTATGTGACGGGACTACGGATGGAAACTAGCTCAAAGCTAAAATCCGGCTCATTCACATTTAAAAGCATTATTTTGTTTAAAATGTTCATTAATGTGCACTGTCCCGGTTCAAATAAACGATTAAATGAAAAAAACAACTTGACAACTTTGAACATCAGATTTTAGAGTAACCACCTCATCCCTGGTTATTTCTGTCCTGAATAGCAAGTGATTTGATTAATGTCTACTTAGATATTGTGTTACCCAGGGGCTTGGTTTAAACATGCAGCTTTAAGTTTCAATATTCCTGCACTATCCTCTGCCTTTTTCGTTGGTTTCAAAATAGGTCACAGTGCACACGCTTGCCACTGCAGCACCGTCATCCCGAATCAGTGCCGATGCAACAGGCCGACACGGCAGTTCAAAGGAGTTCTGACATCGCTTGGGAAACTAATTGGCCATGCCTAAGCTGACTGCGCCTTTAGGGGTTTGTCTGTCTAATTGAGCTCATGGTGTAGGAGAATTACAGGGGACGTACAGAGGGCAATAAATGGAAAACATCAACTGCTTTCCGAACACTGCTCTGTTTCATCCTCAGGGAAATAAAACTGCGACTGGAGACTTTGTCCAGAGCTGCATATCAAGTGTCTTTACAGCACACAGCATGGTATCATCATCCACCTGCCGAATATCGACTGCGTACACCAGACAGATCAATCGCATCAAATCATGCTCACAATGTTTGACTGATTTACTTCCATAATGAGAAACAAACCACTCACTGGAATCGTCTCCAACACAAAAACAGAAAGGTTTATCTTGTAGAGATGACATTTGCTGTAATGAAAACAGAGATAGTGGAACGCTGGATAAATATTTATCTTATCTGTGCTTCTCTGAGGACGGATGAAAGTCTGTTTGCATATCTTGAGGTGTACTTATGTGACTACAAGTGTGAAAACAAGTTGTTTAATGGGATTATAATTTTAGAGGGAGCTGCACAAATACTGATACATCGCCTCAAGTTATATCATAGGGGACGTAGTCATCGTGACGTCGGCCATCAGTTTGTGGAATATGTATATTGAAGCTTTGCTTTTGGCGTTTTGGCCGTTTTGCGATCTTGGTTATTGACCTTTGCCAACTTGTGACATCAGGGTGAGGCCAAATGCACAGCCAAATGCGAACACTGTGATCAAATTGTTACAACAAACTCTCATGAGATGAACATACACCCTAAAAAATATACACTTGAAAAACAAAAACAAGGAGAGCACCCAAACCGACCTGTCAATCGCAATCCATGTCCTTGAGTCGATCTTTTTTTATCAATATATGACTAGGGTTTAATAAATGAACATCGTGCCTACTGAAAAGACATGAAACTAGTAATGTCATAATGTAAACTAATAATTCTCTCATAGACTTCTATGAGATCTGACTATTTTTTTGCAGCCAATGGCGTCGCCCCCTACAGGTTTCTGCTGGGTGTGAAGCAAGAGACCCCTCTGTACCCCAGCTCAAAGATGGTCGCATAACACATCTGAGTCTAGGATCAACTGTCGATTGTCAATTTGCATTGTGGGTATGTAGTGGGCCGGTTTTTGATAATGAAGGAAAACATTAAAAAAAAAATGCAGATGTCTGTTGTTCCACCGCATCAATGTCAAAATGCAAAACATTTACTTTTATTCGTACAAATAAAAGTATTATTTGTTGTAGTAATATTATATTTGATAATGGGGTCATTAAGATGTTTTTATCTCAGTATGAATAAAAAATGCAGCACACTATCTCAAACACTGCAGTGGGCATGACAATGGTGTAATGTTATAAGTATTCACACAGACCTCTGAGTGTAAATCCTTTGAAATGTGGCCTCCTTTCAAAGTGCCTTTGCTTCACAATCTCAGCTTCCAGTGGCTCGAGAGCAAGCCGCACTTGTAAGAGGTCTATTTGGTCCAGTTTGATCCTCAGTTAAAATTGAATGTGATTCATATTTTCAAACAAGAATAACTTCAAAGGCATGGTGGAGTTATACAGGTCAGCATTAAGAGTGAGCGGATACTTTGAACGCTCGATGTGCGTGTTAATCAAAGCATGTTATGGTAATTTTGTAATTTTGTAGGACAAATGCTTCATTTGAAAACTGTCTTATGTTGTGAAGCATTATTCCGCATATCCTGGAGAATTAATCAAGAGCATTGCAGAAACATTTGTTCTTAAATCTGTTACCCTCCCACTGAAAGCCTCCCAGCAGCTCGGTGGTCTCTTTGATTCCTGGCCATTTTCCTCACCTGAGCAATCTGAGTAACGAAAATCCTTAAAGGTGTTCAAAACAAGGACAATTAAAACTCACAACGAGTCTATGTTCTAATCTGTATTGCTCCCCACTGAAAGTTCTCACTAAACGACAATTGTTTTAATTATTTTGGAAGATAATGTGGGATAATTGGCTCCATTTGCTGTCATCACTTATCAAATCCATTAAAAAGCCATCCATTATCTCATCTGCAGTACTGAGATCTTCAGAGATCACCGATGTGGCAAACATGAAGCGGACTTGATCAGGAATGCATTTTTTCACACAATATGATGCACAGACATTTCATATTTTCTGTGCACAGTCTATGATGGTACGATGCCATCTGCTGGTAGAGAGGGCAATTACTTTGGCGGAGCATGTCAATCTTCCATATTTGTCCCCTTCTCACTTTATTAATAATACCCAAAGCCAGTTATTATTTTTTTAAGATTGTGTAAATTCTAATCTATGTTTCAATAATTATATTTTGTAAAGGATAATATATGTACATTTAACATTGAAATCAACTAAGCACCATTTTTGGAACGATTATTTTTAAGTTTTATGTGTTTTTAGGGTTTTGGCTATTTTTGCATATTCTGTTATTGTTTATAATTTATTGTATACCAGAAATGAACCAAATCAAAGTGGTTTACAGAGACAGTACATGCACTCTCTATCAAACAACACACCCATGTATCGCACACACACTACTTACCTCAATCAGAGGAACACAAGTAATCCATTCAATAACATGGACTGTTGCTTAGGCTAACACATGTTTGGTAAATCTGCAGTAACAGTAAAACTGTCCCCTTTTGTGTATAGCCATTACATCAGCATCTCAGATCAATAGGTTAACATTAAACAACATTTCAAACCAGACGGTCGGTTATTGATCTTTCTATTGTACGTGCTCAGATGGTAAAATATGTTTTATAGTGCGCAACAAATAGTTTTCCTTTCATCTCCGGTGAGCATAAAAACTAATAGGATGCAAATCATTGCGAAATTGAACAATAACAGTTAAACCCATTATTTTAGAGAGTCTGGGAATTATTCATACATGAGGCTTGGAAACAAGCTTTCAGTCGACGCTCGATTATAGTGATAATTTTGTATAAGTGTTCAATAGCTTCCTCTCTATTTGATGATCTTTATCAGCGAGCCGTTTACCTCTTCACTGCCGAACGACTTTCTTCCACTGCTGTAATCTGAAACTACATTTAAATTGCCTGTCTCTCAGTATCAGGTGAGGGCGACAATTTACATCATGAATTCAAACATTTCCGCAGTACAACCTTAAAGTGCCACTCTATTTCACACAAAGAATACCAGAAAATGTATTCTGCTGATAAAGGAGGGAAATTGGCCTTTGGCATTCATCTGCTATCGACCCAATGGAGGTATGTTTGCCTATTTAAATGCAGCATGGATCATGATAATGTATTTGATGATTTGCTGACAGGTCGCTCAGTAATGTTTCATATTAAAAGGTTTGAGTACAGAACATTTATCCAGCCTGTCCCCCCTGCATCTATAGCACATATGGCCCTAGAAGCCAATTACGTGTGTGGTATAATGAAGTATAATACCAAGTGTCTTTTGACGCATGACAACAAGGTGGACTTAAATACTTAATTGTTTTTTTTCATTAAAACCTACATCCGTTGATTTATTTTGAATATTAAGAATATTTTCCACTTAAGGGTCTTTGGATATACCAGTATTGATTATCACTGTGACATTTAAAACATACATATCTATGTTATGCTAATAATATACATGTTCCTTGTGGATTTTTGTCTTTAGAAGTTCATCTGGTTGCCTTTCAACTAACCCTTACTGTTTATTTTCTTTTGTAAAGTTATGGTTACAGACTCTATCTACCTCCCTTAACTGTGTTTTGAGTTTCAGTTCCCAAAAAAGAGACAAAACACACAGTTATAGCACAAAGTGAATTTGACTTGTGGCATGATTATGATTGTTTTACATTTTCTATAGGTCTAAGGTCTTATAGCTGACATTGTTACAGCCCTAGTAACATTTAGTAACATTAACAGTAATCTACTAAAATGCTGCAACAAACGTACACTCTCTATTCAAATGTTTAGTAAGAAAACCTCCTAGGAACAGTTTTTTCAATTAGTGTGATGATACAAACACTATATACACACTGCATCTGGTCCTTGTGCATAAATTAGTTTTACAATTCTAATAGTTGACGCCAAAATCAAATCAAATAAACTACTTAACATCTTTCAACATTTACGCAACAACAAGTCTTTTTGATAGCCGGCAGTCTTGTTTCATACTCATCTAGTAATCAGATATCAGACTAACCTTTAAACTAATCTAAGCTCTACATTGCAGAGTGTTTACCCAGTAGCAAAACTGCATTCGAGTGCTGCTTTTCTCACGACAGATAATTGCGGATTGTACTTGAAATGTACCCAATTATCAGCAATGCGAGCAAATTAGTCACAAGCAAATTAATGAGTCATTTGCGGCACAAAAGGCAGCGTCAAATCTACATTTGATTAGAAGATTATTACATTGTATTAATGAGAACATGTGTCATTCACAGTGTTACTAAAATGCAGAATTTATGAGTCTAAGGGGGGGAAAAAGCCAATGATATTCAACCGCACAAAAGCTCGCCACAGTGAAGTCTCATTCTCGTTCTTATCTTTGTAATGATGGTTGTGAGTAGCATAACAGCAACAGTAAACACTGGGGATTGTGGGGCAGAAGAAATTAATTATGTTCTCTGTCACAAGGGAATAGAGCGAGAGGCATATGATTACACCACAGTGCATGTTTTCTACATCATGGTACAGTAAATAATCATAGGAGACACTTACTGAGATTACAGTCTATCCTGATACAATCTGGTGAGAGAGAGAGTGAGATGGTGAGGTTAAAAGAAAAAAGAACAGCACAAAAGAGGAGAATATTTCACATCCTTCAAGGTACATTCTGCAGACACTTCAGTGCTTTTCAGAGCCCACCATCCGGGGACAGCCTTGAGAGTCTAAACCGCCACTTTCCTCCCTGTAGTGTACATAACATTAGAAAAGAAACAGTAAAGTCAAAGTAAAAACCTGAGCATGTGTCTGGCACAGCTGGAAGCACAATAGCGCAGATCAACGTTGGGATCAATAAGAGTTGTATTGAGCATAAAGTGGAGGTGCATTGGTATTTATTTTTAGCGTCAGTATCGGCTTGGATACGGCTGCTTACATTCAGGCGTCTGCAAATGAATCTGACTGCTCCAGATAGCGAGACTGATAGTGTCACTGACGCGTGCTCTGGGGTAATACAGCAAACATGCACCGCTGTGAGGAAAATTGTTTGAAGCAGATCACCAAAATGGAACCTGTGCTCCATTTGTTTTTTTAACACGGGAAGCTGAATAAAGCATCTTAAGCCTGTCATCCAGAGAAGCAGCTGAGGGTGACTAATTAACACGACATAAATTAGAGCTATGGGATAATGCATTCTTTTCAACTCACTGTCGTTTCCTCTCAGTTCTTTTCATTCACTTGTTATACAGATGTATGTGTAGCCTCTTTATTATTTATGTTAAGGACGAGATACATGCATTCATACAGTAAGTGAAGCATACATTAACCTCTTCTACTCTGCTCTTTCCTACCATAGACCCATTGTTCTTTTCCTTAGAGGTAGATAACAGGTCCACAGCATATGCCACATAGAAGTGGTGTACTTCATTTGAAAGCTGATGACAGATTTGTTGCAAGATTTCACTCATATTTTGATAAAATGTTCTCGAAAATACTTCAATATTACTTCAAGAGCTTGAGAAAATTGTAAAGAAATAAGCTTTTTGTTATGTTAAGGCACATGTGTCAAACTCAAGGCCTCGGGGCCAAATCAGGCCCTTGGTGGATTTAATTTCGGCCCGCAGGATAATTTAAAATTACTATTAGATCTGGCCCGCCGGTATATTGCACGCACACCTTCACTCAATCCTGAGGGTCTCCTCAGCTCAGAGCCTGACCCCAAACATTGACTTGCACCCAAGATGAGATGCCAAGTATCTGGCTTGAACTAGCATCACAGCAGCACACTGAGTTTACATGGATGTTTCCTTCTGCACTTTTTTTCTCACAACAACAGGGCATGTTTGTTTTTTTCTTTGAGGGGAATTGTTTTTTTGAAGCTGTTGTTGGCCTGTGGAAAAATGTAATCATAAGAAATGACTCTGGAAAAGCTGCAGATAGAGCCATAAGAAATGAATGCAACTGATTATTTAATGTTTAAAGTTGTTTTTATAGGCAATAATTTAAGCTTTGTTAGTTCCAGGTTTAATATGTGCAATAAGTTCATTTCAATAAGTTTTGCAATAAACATTGAACCAGTCCGGCCCTCGACTAGTACCCATTTTTTTATTTTGGCCCACTGTGTATTTGAGTTTGACACCCCTGTGTTAAGGGGACCGCTCAAAAACCCCTTTAGTTAATATACATAAAAAACCCTCATCTTCGGCTGTATATTATCCTAGAGGTCATTTTAATAAAGTTAACTCAAGGTAAAAAATATGATAGGTGAATGGGATTGATTATTTCACTGAATAGTACTAAGAAGTTTGTAAATGTGTAATAAGTGTCTTAAAGGTATCATACTTGATAGTCTGATAGAGTATTGCACCAATGCACCTCTACTTAAAATCCCAGACCGTGATCCTCGTCGCTTGCTCGTTCCTGCAGGCCTGACAGTTATATATTTTCCAAGTTGAATACAGAGGAAAAGGGCGATTTGCACAACCTGCAGCCACAGTGAACCTTACCCCATGAAAAAGTAATGACACCAGCACTAATGTGATGCTTTGCTAACATCTCCCCATGTCTACAACAGCTAATACTTTCCAAATCCATCTGAAATATTCACAGTTTTAGCCTCAAAATGGATTCACCCACTCATCATTAGCATGTTCTGTATAATGGAACCCATTTTCCCCGCTGTATATGAATATATTGGTGTAAGCCATGTGGCTGAGGAGTGCTCTCAAGCTGTCAACCATCACAGAGCAGTGGATACAGACAGCCAGAGACCAGAGTGCTGCAGGTGTGCGTGCGTGTGTGCGTAAGTGTGTCCATCACCGGCACCATGTGCTCAGTGAAGCGAGTCTAAACTGGACAGGCCAGTAAATGTGAGAGGAGGGAACTCCAATGGTCACATCGACAGCTTAAGCGATGTGAGTGGTAATATCTGAGTGTAATGATAGATCTGATCTCTGACTGCCTTCTCCTTGAACTGCAGACAAAGCCATTGAAGGGCTGAAAGAGAGGACGGTCAGATGGGACCTGACCACTGGATGAACTGAGAGAGAGGGACAGAGAAAGAGAGAAAGAAAGTGACCAAGAGACAGATAGAGAGAAAGAATATTCATACACACAGTTGCTTAAAAAGGCATTAAACCCCTTGAGTTTTTCATAGCTGTTTGTGTGAGACAGGTTCTTCTTCAAAAGGTTTTTAGTGAGATGAGAAGATCACACACTGCAGCCAGTAGCGAGCTAAAAAGTGTAAATATAACCATTTTACACTTTTACTGTCATTATGTATTAGACTATTTTCTGGCACTGAGATGTTGCCAGGCTACCAACAAAGACTACATTAAAAAAAATAGTCTGATACATAACCCCCCCATGAAACCAGGAATTGGGCTTTTTACACCTCAGTTGTTCTGCTGTAATTGAACGCCCTGACAGAGCCATGCTTCCTGTATTCCCTAGTTTGCAGACCTTGTGTTAGCTAAGCTAGCCCTCTGCTTGCCTGTAATTCTTGGACATATCTGATAGTGGTATATACCTTCTCCTCTAACTAGATCTCACTCTATCTAAAAAGGTCAAACTATTTATGTTGTTTTTTTAATGTCACATTTTATATTATCCCTTTAATTCGAAACAATAATGAATCCTAGTAAGAGGAAAAAGGCTCAAAATAATTGCTTGTCTTTTTAAGCAACTGTAGTTGTTGTGTATGAAGATGGATATGAGAGAGTCTGAGACACAACTAATTTCATGATAGCTCGTTGACACATTTAGAAGGTCAACAGGCATTATCTGCTCGCAGCAGCAGCATTACCCAGGTTCACAGTGAGCTTCACTCTGCCTCCGTCCAGCTCCAGACGCAGTGTGTCCGCTGACTGCTGAGAGGTGGTGGCCACCAGCAGGCCAAAGGCCCTCAGGGACATGAAGCGCAGGGACACGTCCTCTGCCTCTGTGTGGAGTGTCCTTGGCAGCAGCACCTTCAGATACATGCTGCCGTCGTAGCTCACCATCGTGGCCTCTATGGATTTCAGGAAGAGGCGTTAGCAGACATTGAACCTCAGAGGAATTCACAAAGCAAAGTGGCATTTATAGATTGAAACCTGAATTGGAGCTTATCTAAAGTACAGCATGATATGATTTTAGATTGCAGTTTTCATCAGTCTCACCAGATGGCAGAAAAAGCCCTAGAACGAGCAAAGACAGTGGTGAGATTACGGCAGCAATCACATTTCTGAAGGATTTATACCCATCATGAAGCAATACAAGGGGGATTTTCAAATATCCCTCATTCTATTAGCTGCTAGTGGATCTGCGTAATTTGGCCTCTCTGCATTTCCCATGCAGATGGTTTCCTCACAGAGTGATTCAGGCCGTATCACTGCAGAGGCAGCACTCCATTTGTAATGAAACACTCGGAGAACACGGAGAACCTTTCCACACTGATAATTCATTAATGAAGCACTGTACAACTGTAGAATAATTAACTATGGCCTAAATAAAAAAAATATTGGTCCTTTGATTGTCACCTCCTATCCTTTGTAAACGTGGAGCTCTATTGTTTGAATTGTAATGACATTATTAAGCATGCAGATGATGATACTTCAATTGTAAATTGAATTATTATTGTCTGAGGCCTGAATATTAAGGCTTTTTTTCTTATTTGTCTATTCCTGCAGGCCCTTTCCAGGCACTACACAGCTACATCAATAAATAAAATACAGGCCAAAGTGTGTTAAAAGCTTTTCAGCATCATTTTGAAATCACTTATCCTTCTCATGCACCGTCATATGTCTCAGAAACTCTTACCCTTCTCACAGCTAGCACCCAGGTAGCCGGTACCGTTGCATTCACAGATGTGTCGGTTCCAGCCTTCCCTGCAGTGTCCGCCGTTGGCACAAGTGTCTCTGGCACACCTGATGTGGGTCTCTCTGGTGCAGAAGCTGCTCACACCTGTGGCGCTCTGAACCTCCGCCAGCCTCCACAGGTTACGGCTCTGTCCGTCTATGAACAGGTCCCTCACACAGCCCACATAGCCCAGGCTGAGGGAGGCGGTCCACACCTCGGGGGGCAGCATGAGGGCCTGCCGATCCTCAGGTAACCCCCCGAGATACATGTCCCCGTCAAGGTCCAGGATCTCGCTGCCTTCATTAGCAGCAAAGGGGATGCTCTGGCTATTCACGGAGATGAAGCCTGTAGGGCAGGAAATGAGTCAATTTGTACTTACACAAGGTTTTTGTCTGAGCAAAGAAAGACGTGTGTGTGTGGGCTGTGCCTAGTGAGAAGTGAGAACAAACTGTGATATTGGGGAAGTAGGCATTAGGCACTGCTTGCCTAAAAGAGTGTGAATAAAGAAAACTGCACTGGCAGTCCTTGGGAGTTGATTTTATGAGAAAAAGCAGCAGCCAAAACTAAAACTCGCCCTGAAAAGGGAGGAATTATAAATGGCATTGTCATAATACTCTGCTTGAGAGGGAAGGAAATGTATTCATAGAAATGTGTAGGAAGAAGTAAGAGGAGGAACAGTGTGTGTTTGGGCTCTTCCTAATAAGGTAGACATTTGGATTGCACTAATAAGGCCACATTTGAGGTGGATGTCTGTATAATTGGCCACTTGTGAAATAGGTTAACACAGATTTCCAAATGTCACAGATAGATTATAGCAACTGAAAATATCATTGTAATTAAAACCTAATATGCGTGCATGTTTCGCTGCGGATAAGAGAAAGCCAGAGCGGGCCAATGTGACTGGCTCCATGCTGACATATGGCGGTTTCACAGCTTGGAACATTTTCTGCTCCAGAGCTAAAACTGGAGTAACAGAAGCAGACAGAAGGCTTCCACAAACACACAGAAGTATCTCACCGTTACGACCCCTCCTCTGGAAGTCCACACGGCACCACTCGCCATCATCCAGCCTCTTGTTACTGGCCTTCATCTTGATGCTGCCAGAGCCCATATCCATGACCAGGAAGAGGAACCCGTCCAGCAGCTCGATGGCGAAGAAGTCGGCGCGGGGTTTGTCTGGCATCGCGCCCTGCAGACTGCCATGGCTGAACAGCAGCAGGCCCATGGGCTCCGTGGTGCGGAAGTCAAAAGATATGGCGCCCGTCTTCTTTGTGTTCCACCTGGGTAAAGTCAAGAAGGCAGAGGGAGTGTCGAAGGTGATCGGCTCCAGGGCCTCCACGTCCTCGCAGCTGAATATCAGGTCGCCATGGATACTGATCTTTGGATCCCGCTGTTCAGCCAGTCGTGACAGCTCCAGTCTAAACTCATTATTCTTGTAGACCACCTAATAAACGAGAGAGATGTCGTGGTGAGATGACAGCTGAAGTCGACAATAAATTCAGTGCAAAGGTTTTATATTACTCATCATTAATATAAGATTCTATATGACACAGCGGCATTCACAAGGACACGCCGTATTAGAAATGCGATGAATCATCCCTGAACTCAGAGCGCAGGATCAAAAATGTTTTGATTATTTCATTTCCTGGAGTTCAGTCCAATAAACTGGCACCTTTAATTAAAACAGACGTAGAGGTGCTTAATGTGTTAAAAAAGAACACCCTTGTCTGTCTCTATAAGATTGTTGTTATGTGCACAGGAAGAGATAGAGGAACGTGTATTATTGAGTATTTTACAGGTAGGCAAAGAAAAACAAGAAGGCAGGAAGTGCTGAAATGCTCTTGGCATTTAGATTTAGATGCAAATGCGAAAATTTACATTTTAGACATTTAGGTGACTCACTAAAGACAAAAAATGTGTTCCGACAGTAAAATAATCTCAAATTCGGAGAGGAGGAATCACAGACCTAGCACCTACTGTACACAGCGACAAACAATTATATGTGTTTATATGAAGTAAAGTGAAACAGATCAAGTCCAAGCAGAGGTGGTGAGTGGGAGAGAGGTGGACTCGATCCTTAAAAAGTAAAAACACACAATGCAGTATTTAAATAGGTAGTTAATGTAGGAGGGCATGAACTGGAGTGTTCGTTTTCTCTGCTGAGCTCATGATGCAGATACAGATAAGCTGTGGTAAGAAATCTGATTATACACTCCGGCTGCAGACCTGCCTCTGTCTTTGAGGATTGTCTGGATATTGATTTGAACATTTGGATCAATTACCGGAAACAGAGAGGAAGATATTCACCTTTAATACATCAAATACACCCTGTTTCTAATGCAAGTGTGCTACAGAATGCCCGCTCCTCTGTGCGGCTCTTTGTTATTTTCTGTTTCCATTCTGGGTTCATCAATATGCACAGCAGGAGACAACAATCCTTGTCTCATTTTGTATCAGTTGTAAGTCACCCCGAGCCCTCTGTTATCTGCCACATCACTCTGTGGCGAGTCACTGCCGGAGGTGACACACCACGCCGCACAGGGGACTAACAGCAGAGCTGAGAGACAATTTGAGCCAATATCACACTTCACACTGCCTCACTAATTAAGCAGTGAAATCAGATGGTGAAACTGACCATCGAGAAATTAGTGTAACAGGCAATTTTTAGATGGGAAGACAGTCAATCAAGTCACTTACACAAAGCGGGAGCTGTGTGTTAGCAGTTATAAACAGACAATAGGCGACATGCAGGAACATTCTCTTATATTTTCTCTAATTAACGGAAAAATAGTCAACCCCATTTGCATCAAATGTTCCACCCCATCCAAATCAGCTCTCAGCTACGTGCTCTGAATGATGAATCCCACTTCATCAAATCGGATGTGTGTGGCTAATTGTTTATTATGAGCTTAGGTAACACACCCTAATCCTTAAATAAAGGCAGGTGTTGTGCCGTGTGCAGACAGTCTACTGGTCCCAAACATTTGGGGAGATGCCAACAAAAAAAGGCTGTAAGAAAAATAAGAACTGCACTAGTATTGAATCTCAGGTAATGTTTAATAAATCAAGTAAACTTCGATTTTCCAGACATCAATACTGGCATTAGAGGAAAATCATTGAGCATCGAATACCAGTATGTGGGTCATATTCACACTATCTTATCTCCCAATGATTTTTTAGTCATTATTGGGATCAATAGACGAATAGCATTTTTTCCTACTATTTCTATCACAAATAAAATAATCATTAATACTGATGATCTAAATCCAATCATATTATGTTCATGCATTTTTCTTTAATCTGATTTGTTTCCTTTCTGTGACAAACAATTGGAAGAAAAACTAGATGTTATTTCTTCCTGTGTGTCGGAGGAGCTCTCTCTAAGCCAATATACGACAGACCTCCCTCTGTTTCTGAAGAATGTCTGGCAATGGATTTAAACATTTAGATCAATAACAGGAAACAGAGAGAGATACGAAATCTTTTAAAATAAGTTTACTCACATAAAACAGACCCTGAGCTTACTGTGATAAGAAATCATTGGACGGTCACAGAAATCGATGGGTACGAACAAAATAAGAAGAAATCATGGAAAGAAAATAGGAGGTGATTTGTCCGCATATTGCTTCCTGCATGAGGCACAATATTTACAAATAGGAGCTAACAGAAAGGCATAGATGGCTGCAAAAAAAGCACAGTGTGACCTCTGCAGGGCTATTACATAAACCAAAGGACAATACAGGAAGTGGAATCCTATTCCACCAAATCAGACGCCTGTTGTATGTGACAAGGATTACAGTGTATCCGGACACACAAGAATAAAGCCCTTCTGGGGCCGAATGACAAAAAGCCCTTGTGCCTTTTATGCTCAAGAGTTAAAGAATAAAAGCAGTGTGAGAATGAAGACCTTCTCCGCTGCTAATAGCCGTGTGAGGACATTCTTCATTACCAAATTGTGCTCAATCTTTGAAGCATTAAAGTGAGGGACCCTAATGATGCAGGGTGGGATATCCTGTGGGCACACATACTACAGACCAATAAGCGGGGTGACTTCAAAGACAAATTCATTTCTCCCGGTCCCTGGTAGTTGTTGTATTCCCGACACTCGTCTGAAAGTGGCCATTATTTGTTCCTCTACCTGATGGCCTTTACCCAGCAGCCCTCACATTTATTATCAAGAGACATCATGAGAGATGAGTCATGGCCCAAACTCTGTGCGTTCGATAAAATAAGACAGATATCCCCCAAATAGAGGCACTGCTTATACAATAAATATTGTAGTCATTTCTCTGTCCCGAATGGATTAAGAGAAATGTATGTTTCTCCATTCACAGCATTGTTCCTTACTTCCACTCAGAGCTCTGGATTCGACTGACCTGGCGTTGAACCTGCATCTCCAGGCAGAGCTGATCCCATTTGATCAGCTCTGCCATCGCGCGCCCTAAATTCTGGGACTTTGCGGGTTTGTCATCACATCTTCATGACTCTTTATCCCTGTCATAGCCTGCCTGCATGCCTAAAGTGCATTTGTGTGACTACGCACAGCAAGTAGTACGTATAAACACCACCACCAGCCGCACCACCCACAGAGCGGGGGCTGCAGCATTGGCAGGGTGCTGGGACAATAACCTATCCATAAATAACATCTAATTTTAATTTCTGTGAATTCACACTGCAGTTATGTAGAAGCTCCATTTCAAATGCGTTCAGCACAGTGCTTGAAATGTTGATGTCATGTGCTTTATTAAAACGACATTAAATACAACTGTGGACTATGACATAAGAAGTAAATAAGTAAAGCCTAAAATAAGCCTCATATATAAAGAACATGCTTTGGTCCAGCAGTGCTTTGAGTAATAACAAATTATAGCGACAGCAGGAAACAAAGTCGCTGAGAGGCTGAGGCCGGGCCTGTTTGATGTTGTATGACACGCTAAAAAAGTACTTGCTGAGATCAAAAGCTCTGTTGAATAGTATTGTAGTTTAATGAAAAATACTCGGTGATCAGACATACATTGTTATAATAATCAAAGCAATCATAAATCTTGCGGTCAACAAAAAGTACAACGGCCCTGTGTCACCCTCTCTTCCACACACACACACGTCACGCAGGTGAACAGGATTATAATGAGAGCCGCCCATATCCATGTGACCCAAGCCAACCAATCAATAGTGATCAAACAAATATCTTATATTAAAACAAAACGCATTACTATACACGTTTCATGGCTCCTACACAAATATTAATGTACAAAAAAGAAATTAAGACTGAACAACTAATTGGTTTCCTTTTGAGAAAATTACACATTCTCATTGCTGAGATTGCAAACAAACTGAATTATTGTATCTAAATGTTATGTTTTTGGTTTCAAGGGTAATCTTTTAAACCCCTAAAATGCCTGGGAAATAATTCTCTAACGAACAAAAAAATCGAATTGTTATCCTTTTACTTTTCTATTGTCATCTATGGTGGTTGTATGCAAAAAATTACATTATTCAAATGATTCGGATATAAATGTATTTATATTTCAGTCCTTGCTTTGGCGTTAGTAGTTATAATTATGTCTAAAAGCTGCTTAGTGCTGGTTTCAGGAAGTTAAACAGGGCATAATTTCCTCTCTAATATATATTTTAAATTGCTGTGAAAACATCACCGTCCAACATCTGAATTCATTGTAGTTTCGTGCCCCAGTTATCAACTTACTGGAGTTTTTTAAGGAATCATTTCAGTGTTAATATTTGCCAGATTTGCTTTCTTAGTTTAGCATTATAGCTAGTTAGCATGTTGTAATTAGCAGTACTATTTTTTGAGAAATTTAGACCTGATGGTGGTGCTTTATGAAAAGTCATGGGATAACTAAAATCGAAACAACTCCTCCTGTAGGGACATTTATTAACTGAAGCATGACGTCAATCCATTCAATAGTTGTCGAGAAATTACAACTCAAAAACACAAATAGTAACGCAAGTAATGTTGGCACAAGAGCAAACTTCAGGGGATCAAAGACTGTACCATTCATTCTTTAGGAAACAACTACTCTAATGGCATCCATCGGAAAGTTGCAAAAATATTTCAATGAGGACAAAATCTGGCGGACAACAGACGGAGGACATTGCCATACCCTAAGCCAGGGGTATTCAACTAAAATTCAACGAGGTCCAGTTAGAGAAAATCTCCCCATGCAAAGGTCCGGAACTTCAAAATGTCTAACTTGCTTTATGAATTAGTGTGATGTATTGAAGTAGCCTGCAGCTGTATCAACGTCTGCATGTAATCAACAACTGACTGCCAATCAAATAAAGAAAGTACAATTCATAAACAACAATATTTATTGTCAATTAACATTGAACTATGTACAGGAAAATACTGTGGATATGTGTAATGTTCCTCTCTGGCTGCATTTAAAAATAAAATAGAGAAAATAAATAAAATAGCTTTGTTAACCGTTTCACATCATGACTTAACAGTCTCAGACGATTATAGAACAATATCAGTCTTTACACATCATAACAATTGAACAGTTTTAAAGTTTCTCTTTCTTTCCCTCTTATATTGCAGTCCCTCACTCACTTTTTTTAATTCAGTGCGAGAATTGAGCTTGAGCTTGTCCTGCCAGGAGTTTAGATCTGGGCTGAAATGGTGTCAGGGCCATTCTCATACACACATGCAGGTGCTCATTAGTTAGCCTCGGTTAGCCTGCGCTGGAACGATATTTATTTGTTGTGACCTCAGTTCTGACTTGAGAGGGAATGTTTGGTCAAACACTTTGTGTTTTGTCTCATAGTGGCGTTTTGGCACTTTTAATGAGCGCCACGGTCTCTGAACAAATGAGACACACTGGTTCTGTGCTCCCAGTGGGCAGGATGAACATGAATGAGTCCGTCCATTCTGTTCTCACTGTCCACTTTCCTCTTCTTGGAGAGCGCCATGTGTAATTATTTGTCTCTCCCTGTCTGCCGCTAACACACCTGTTCACTCTCCTCTCCGTCTTCTCTCCCTGTATCGCTAATTATTCTCTTCACTCACTTTCCTCTCCACTTCTCTCTGCCGCTCTCTCGTCTCTTCTTCTGTGTTTCTCTCCATGTATCGCTCACTCGTCTCTTTCGCCCCCTGTCGGCAGCGGTTAAAATAGAATCGCCCCGTCAAAATTGAAATCCCCTATTAATGTATTGATTATAGGTCCGGGTCCGTATAGGTCGGCGTCTGGGTCCGGATCCGGACCGCGGTCCGCCTGTTGCCGACCCCTGCCCTAAGCCCTGCGAAGCTGAAAAGATTATGTAAATGTGTCCCTAAAATCTCTGTGTATGTGTCATCACTGAACTTCGGCACACAAATTACTTAGATTTTAGTTTGCCGACATAATTACATTCTGTGACTGCACAAAGCTGATGCTAAGTGGTAGAACTCGATTGGATTGGAGTAAGAAAGTCTGAAAAATAGTTCTGACAGAGCATCAAAGTCTGGCACAGTCTCCATCAATATTTAAAAAGATCACCAATCTTCACATTACAAGGCACTGACAGATTTTGTAATCTGCCAATGTCTCATCCTCACACATACTCTAAAGAAGCTGCTGTCTGTTATACGTTCCTCCACCTGGCTGCTGCTGGGACGAGCTTAGTCAGATTTTGGTTCTCTATTTGCCTTGCGCATTTTGTGACAAGTTTGCTCTGTCCTTGGTGCATTGTACTCCCTGCTGAATCCCATACAGCTGGATTTAATGGGGATCAAGAGCAAAGCCTAATAATAGTTTATACACACTTATGGAATAAAAGGTCTTTGACAATAATGTCTCCGGTAGAAGAAAACTCATTTGTTTGAGCCGGGTATTGACCCCAAGGAAATATATACACACCAATCTGCCTCTTCGACACTTATGCTACTTTGCTCTTCAATATTTAATAATTAAATTCTGTTTTAGTCATGTCTTCTCCTAATCTGCCCTTTTGCTGCTCGGCTTTTGCTTTTTATGAGATTGCTCTCTTCATTAAATATTTGTAAGCAGAGGCTGAAATTGGGCATTAATCCATTATTCACTGCTTTGTCTATATTAATTCTAATGCCGAGTGCATGAGCCTTGCTTGCTCGAGATAATCAACGTGACAGGTACGGGCTGGGGTTTAAAAAGCATAAAAAATGTGGAAAATAGTTCATACTGTGCTATTCAGGAATGAACATGAGGAGATGCATCTGTTTCTTATGTATATTAGTGCTGCGTTCTCAAAGGGAGTCCCGCAGGAATCTGTAAATGCATATGCTCTCCACAGCTGAATGTTTCTCCTTCAAACACCCTACAGGAGGAGAATCGATACGAATGCGACGGGTGGTTTTCTATACGCAGAACATGCTCTGCTTATAGGAATGGGTAGTGCTATCTAAGTAGGGGAAGGATTGTGTTTCCAGTCCTCTGATGGGACCGAGGTCAGGCTGTACTCACATCTTTCAGACAGCCCAGGAAGTTGTTGCTGACCGGGGAGCCTGGCAGGTCGGCCGTGTTCAGACTGCCTCCGATGTAGAAGAGATCATCGGAGCCCAGCATGGTGTAGTCCTCCTGGGTGTAGCCTGTGGTGGTGAGAATCCCATCCACCAGGATTGTCACCTAGAGGAGCCACAGCAGGAACAGGGTATGAGTAACATAAACGACAGGACATGGAGAGATTCTTACAAAAAGAACCGTCTCGTTTTTTAATGCCTCATTTCTTGATTCGGGTTGAGCTCGCCTTAATGTCGGATCTTGAAGGCAATTACAAGAACAGCTTCTCATGGTTCACTCATCTCAGCTAATCTCTGTTTCTGATATCTTAGCAGGATGGCAGAGGAGTCAATATACCATAGATATACCCTCCACTGCAAACATAATTGCTACATCGTACTCAGGAAATGTGAGATTAAAGATGTTAAGATTGCATCGTGTGTAATGGCAGCAGATGGATCAAGATCAATCCCATATCAGTTTCATCAGCACACAAACCAAATGTGCCGAAGACAACCGAATGACTGAAAAAAGGCTATAGGAGAAGAATGTAGGTGCTTGTTGCCATGCCAATAAGCCTACAGTTAACACGCACTCCTGCTCTAATGTAACAGCTCCCAGTGCGGCGGAAACAACTGGGAAAAAGGTAATTAGTTAACAGTTATTCCTGTGTTAAATTGACTAAAGATCTCTAAAGAGGCAGGGGACATGAACGTTCAAAGAGTTAATTAATTGAATTATTGTTTTAAGACAATCACAATGATTGTGTGGAAATGTGTAATACAGAAAATGTTTTGTATATGTTTATAAAATATTATAGATCAAGTCATATGTAAGAGAGGGGACTGCTCTCTCAGTTGTCAAATACACCTTCACTACACACTTATATATATACATTATACCTCTTTTAATTTGAAATGCAACTGAAAAATGTAAGCAAGTGAAATAACACATTTTTATAGAGCAATTGGCATCACAGATAATAACGGGATGATTTCTATATAAAGACCAACAGATAAAAGAGATCTGAGCTACATTTCTGGAGTATGAATACAAACTAGGCTACCACCACCACCACCGGATCCACCAGACATGGACTTAAAAGCACAATGTGTCATTCTTCGCCATTTGGGTCCCTCAATCAAAACAATAACAAAGACAGAGTTCTGTGGAGTCGGGAAGTAGAATGGGATCATTGGAGTTTGTCTGTGCCTTCAGGTTGTGTCACTTAGGAGTCCTTTATTGTTCGGGAGGTTTTTACTGGGAGACAAATTAACAACAGAGGTATCCTCTTCTACAAAACGAACAAACCAGGTGATTAATACTCGAAAAATCACAAAAACAAGCAGTTTAATTGTAAAAATGTGTTTTTCTCTGATGATGTTCTGCTGCAGCAAACACTTGTTCAGCTTGTTTTTCTTCAAACACAATATCCATACATCCTATGACTTAAATCCTCTGTCATCGTGATCTTAAAAGAGTATCCTTAAAATGTGGCTTAAAGGGGACCTACTGTATAACGTAAATGTTCTGGTTTTATTTGTATTTTGGGCTACTACTGTGACATGTTTACATGCTTAAATGTTCAAAAAGGACCTTATTTTTCTCATGTGCAGCACAGTTCACCCTCTGTCTGAAATCAGAGCCCAGTCTGCTCTGATTGGTTAGCTGGTCGCGGCTCTGTTGTGATTGGTCCACTGCTTAGAGGTGTCCTGCTCCTTAGCCTATCACGAACAATGTGTTGCAGCTAGCCAATTGGAGTGTAAGTGTTACATAGTAATGTCATTATGTTACTAAAGGAAACAAAGGAGTCCAGTGGAGGCGTTTTAAGGTATGACCAGACCATTTACATGCACACAAACCTTTATGCCACACTACAGAGAAGAGACAACTCCAAATGGCATGATAGGGCTTCTTTTAAACTGGATAGAAAGTCAATTTATGACAGCTTCTGGCAGACAACCACAATGCTGAAGCACGCACAAAGGGAATGCCCAAGTACTATATGCTACTAAATGAAACAGCCCATTACTTTGATTAAAACGACCTTTTACTAGTTAATAGTTTTCTTTGAAACATTTGAGGTAATGTAAGTACGCGACTCAACAAAATATATAACATAGCTCTAGTCGTTTTTAGACCTTTTAATGCGGAACTGTTTCATCCTGTAATATACCTACTGTATAAGTAGATGAGTAGTAAATTGATGCGGCCTCATTGAGGACAAATGGCTCATATATAAAAAGATGATCAATGTGTTCAAGCACTCAGGATTTTTTAAAGGTCCTTAAACTGTATCTCAGCTCAACTGAACTTTGTGAAATGTGTGGTGTGTCTTGTGTGAAATCGCTGGTATGCTAAAAGCAAGAGTATAAAAACAAGAGAGCGACCTGACAGGGTATGTTCAGGTGTCGGGTCTCTGAAGCAAGGTCCTGCCTCACCATTCACTGCTGCTGGCAGGTATTGATTTTTTTGTCTATCCAGTGCTGAAGCCCTCAGTATCTTTGGCTTGGAAGGTGGACAATGGCAGGGCTTGATGGAGGGTTGATGATAATGCATGAAACTTCAGAAAAGTGCTTTCATGCCTGGAAACTGATTGATGCTGCTCTCTCTTTCACTCGTCTGAAAAAGCATGACTAGTTCCTAATGATGACTATATACCCTATCCATATCTATTTACTGGCATTTCAGAGGTGAAGGTACTGTAATTGTTGAATAAGGTTAACATAGCATTAAGTGGAAGCAAACGGCAGGATAATATTCAGGTTGCATTCCTGGCTGCTAGACAACCTTTCATCATCATTCCTCTTGCATTTTTACATAGCCGGTGCAGTAATATTTGTGAGTAGTATTTAGGATTGTTTGCATGTGTGTTTATGCAGTATTTGCCCATAAATAATGAATGAATGATGAATAAGGGGCAGAAGGGGTGGGTAGATCACGAGTCAGTTTGCCCACAACAGTAGAAGAAAAGACAGAATATAGGGAAGGGTAATAGGAGAAATTCCAGCTTGAAAAGCTCCACCGGATCTAATAAAATGTTTCCAGCAGCCCTATCTTGGGAGTTACAGTTCCCCTATCTACATGTCAGTGGGGTAACTTATCTGAAGGGAAAGCAATTTACACAGGGATCAAATCCATGCCTGAAAGCATAAGTGACATTGTAAGCACTGGATTGCTCCTCTGGAAGCCGGGGTAAGGAAATAGATGAGGAAATAGATGAGGAAGAGGATGCAACTTTATATTCATCTCAATGTGAGAGGTACAGAATACATTGGTGATGATGACAGAGTTAGATACAATATAAGTCCTACTGAGGATAAGAAATGAAACACATAAATGCACTGTGCCTGACAAAGCTCATTGAAACATATTTGGTCTAACCGTGGTTCAGGTAAATTCACTAAGAGGTTATTTTTTTGGCACAAAACTGGGTTGGGCCTTTTTGCTTTCAAAGGCTCAGTTCTCCTAAGGTTTCAATATTGTAATAGAAATGTTCCCCAGGGATGTTGTATTTTCTAAATGCACTTACAGTATACAGGTAGGAATATTGAATTGCAACTTGGCTGAAAGGAGCTCTGCTTGAGTTGTCATAAATTCTGTGCCTCCACTTTTTGGTCACACAGCCCAGTATGTGCCAATTTAGGACTTTTTCGAGGAGTAATATTAGACGAGACCATATGTTGTTTGCCGTTTGTTTCAGCAAAGCAGCTCTAAAAACCCACACCACTCTGCACGGCTCAGCACCAAACAGACACAGATAGCAACTAGCTTAAGAACGACAGGCGCTAATTAATCATGACATACATGAAGCATGTGACTTAAACGTCCATTGAAGCTTCCGCTCTAATGTAGAGAAGAAATAAATAGAGGCAGACATAAACATCAAATCTGTGTGGAGTGAATATGAGACTGTAACCTTACTCAAATTAATCCATGAAAGACAAATCAATGTCATAATATCACATTGTTCTCTACACTGTTTTCAGCTATTTGTTGTTTGACTGCAGTGGCGGCGCCAGGGTATGGCTGGGGTAGGCTACAGCCATACCAAGAAATGGCTTAGCCCCACCTTAGCCCCACCATGAAAAATTATGTTAAAGTTACCATGTTGAGAACACGGATTGCGAAAATATACGGGTCGTGTCCACAACACACAAACTGATCCTGCTGTAACAACAAGTGCACGTTACTAATGCAATATGGTTGAGACCATTCGGGCTTATGCTAGAAGAGGGGTGCAAGGAATAGTCTAAGTAGTGGGGGAGTTTTATACACTAAAGGTGTGGAAATTCTCTCGCGTTATAATATCAGCGCGGCCGCGGTCAGATCAAAATGCCTCCGAATGCAATTTGAATAGACCTACAGCCAATCAGAGCAACGAAACGTTGGATCTGCGTCATGCCTTACTGATTGAGATAAATCGAAACCGCCATTCAGTATCCCCATTGGATCTTCAACGTGTACTATCATACGTCACGTTCACAGTGATCCCTTTTTATTTACTACAAGACAAATGTGCCGTTTTATTTCATACAGTTCAATTTTGATTGAGACAGGGAAATAATCGAAACCTCACGCATGGCGTTTCACTGTCAAGGGGGGAAATATAGCGTGTATGTAATTACATTGCAAATACTGACTTCAGCCCCACCACTGTATGGGTTAGCCCTACCATAGATTACCCAACACAAATACTCTGGCGCCGCCACTGTTTGACTGCCTCTGTTTTAGTTACATCATCTTGTTGAGCACTTTTCTTTCCGAAGTGGTCAATAGGTACCTGACGAGAAAGTTAGCGCTAACTACTTATCACGATAAACCTAATATCAGCGTAACATAATTCATGGCAACAAGGCATAGATTCTCTCCAAACAATATGACTAAAATGTGAGCTACATTTGTATGGAAAACTTGTAGTAGTTCAGAATGTTTAAGCAACCGATTGGAGGAGACCAAAAAACTTGCAACAAAAGACCAAATGTTGGACATACAATCGTTGGCCAGAAACACGACTCTTGCTACTGGCTGATGAATGACACTGTTACTCTGTAATTGAATGTGTAAATAAGCAGCTGTTTGCCAACAAGCTCTCCCTATCAACTTAAGTGGTGATAATAAGCCAATGTTTTGTGTTCACAACTTGTTTCAGCTGGCCTCGAGTGGCCAGAAAATATGACCGTGAAATACTTGTTACTTAGGGGGTAATGTTTTATGTATGGGTTTATTCAAACAACCCTTTTCTTTTTCATATTTGTTAATTCATTAGTAGAGTTTTAAGGTACCTTATGATGGAGCTAAATATACTGCAGTTGTTATGGGTTAGGGTTAAGCAGGGTAACTTTTAATGTTATACAGACACTTCCTGGAAGTCTGTAAATTAGTTTGGGAATTGAGCACTGTTCTTTGTCCAGTGGACGTTAATGAATATAAAACCTTAGGGCTGAGTTGTACTTGGCCGGAGTACGGTACAGTAGGTACAGCAGTACAATACAGCAATGACTGTATTCATTAAATAAAAGCTCTGCTCTTTTTTTCCCCATGACCGCTCGGACAGTGCTGCAAAGTTGAATTTTTTTTATGGTCTTTTTGTCTAAGGGTAGTTTGTCAAGATCTGAACATCTGATAGAAAATTATTGTCCTGTAAAAGGTATAAAAAAGACCAGACTGCAGAACTGTCATCACTGCTGCAAGACACATAAATGTGATTGATATTGCTGCATGAGTTGAGTCTTCATTTCAAAAAAGGTAAAAAGACTTTACAGCAGTCTTTTGAAGACTGCAGAATAAACCTGCATCTGATTATAAAAGGACACAGTGATTTCCGCCAAAGCAATCTATTTCATGAGAAAGAGGGCAATGACCTAATATGTGCTTGTAATATCTATCAGAACATGAAAAAAAGGGAATTCAGCAGAGCAGAAATATTAATAATTCAACAGAAGGCAACACAGTTGTGTTAGTGTTTGCTCTGATAGTGGACGATAATACCAAACCCTATTCCATGACACTGGTAATACCTGGACCTCATAACAAACTGATACAAGTTAAAGATAAGTATTCATTCAAGCTGCAGGAGGCGGTTGATTTTTGGCGTCATTGAGCAAAAGCTCCATAATAATCTTTCAGAAAATGTTATTGAAGAAGGGTATTTTTAAAGGTCACCTATTATGCAAAATCCACTTCTTCATGTCTTTTCTACATCAACATGTGTCCCCTCTTCTTCATGTCTCTTCTACATCAACATGTGTCCCCTCTTCTTCATGTTTCTTCTACATCAACATGTGTCCCCTCTTCTTCATGTCTCTTCTACATCAACATGTGTCCCCTCTGTGTAAAGAGATTCTGAAAGTTTCAGGAAAAAAGATTCTCTCACTTTTTGTCCTGATCCATTTATATAAAAACCTGTCTGAAAATGAGCTGATCAGATTTTCGCCACTTTATGATGTCATATCGATTTTTTGGCTTGTGTAACCATTAGCCAATCAGCAACCAGCAACCCCCCACCCGCCCCCCACACCTTATCACCTGAATCTCCTCCTAGAGCCCCATAGTGTTCTTTGTAACCAAATATCTCTCAGAGCGGCGTGGGGAGTGGCTCCTTATTTTCATCTAAAGTAACAGACAGAGAATCAGCACTTTGGAAACAGGGCTGAAACAGAGGGGATTATGGGATGCTGCGATTATATATTTGGTATTTCGAGGCCAAACACTTCAGAGACATGTTTTATATATATCTGAGACTTATAATAAAGTAATGAAAAACAGAATAATAGGGGACCTCATTGTGATCCTGATGTAATGTGTATGCAAATCACAGACAGTAAGATGTAAACAGTACACACCTGGCGGAGGTTGCGCGTCACTTGAACATCATGCCAGACATTGTCGTTGAAATTTCCTTTGGAGGGCTCCACCAGGGCCTCGAAGGCACCAGAGCCCAGGTTGATGACCAGCCACAGAGCCCCGTTCCTCAGGGACAGGTTGACGTAGTCAGCGGACCTCCCGGTGTGGAGCAGCAGGCCGTTCCTCTGCAGGGTGCGGAAGGACAGCGTGATCTCATCCAAACTGCTCTGGATGGGAGTCAGGGACAGGTTGTAGCTGAAGTACTCATTGCCTTTGAAGGTGGCCACTGACTCCTCCTGCCCTGAGAGGGGAGGAAAAAACATCTTAGATAATTGTTAAGGTCATCAGGATTAAGTTTAATTAACCTACTGCAGTTCATTAACTACTTTAATGTTGAGAAAGGTAAGGCTTTGATGAGCAATCATAAAAGACCTATACATTATTATCATTCACCAAAACTAATTTGAACAGACAATGCAGGTATTTGTGGAGCTATTCACATATGCAAAAAATCACTGTACATTCTGATGATCGAATGTACTGCCAATGGAAGATCACAATATTCTGTGTGTTTGCACACCAAAGGATAAGTCAAGCGATATTCTACTTTTCTTCTAAAGTCAACAAATGACATGAAAAGACCAAAACTGACAATAAACTGGCCCTACAGTCTGTCTAGCCAAGGCCTCATTTTCATTGTGCTGCATATCTCTATAAAATAGTAAGACAGAGTGTTACAAAAGGTTATTTTAATAAAGATACAAATGGAAACAACTCTTTACTGTGAGATGATCCCAAATAGTCTGTGTTAGTGCTGTATATTCTCAGGAGCACATCAAATCTTAGAGCTGAAGTTATTCCCCAACAGACGTTTGCTTTAAGTTATTTAAAGAAATGATTCAGCCTTTTTCAAAATGTGCACTTTAAAAATGAAATGTTTTCTTTAAGATTTGTTGACAATAAGAACAAGTATAGAACATTTCCAGCCTTATCCTTTATTTAACGGTGACATTTAAAGAAAAATGATTGACCCATGAACAATATAAAGGTGTCAGTCTTGTCTAAACCTCTAATTCACCACTGCTGTTAGAATAATTTCCATCGAGGCTGTAAAATATACAGAAAAAACATGATGGCTTTAACTATTTCCCTGGCTGCTCAAATAAAAGCAGTTTTCAGGTTTACCCGGAGCAGAAGGTAGATGTTTGTTATTTTTAATCGTTTCTTGTAAATGTGTCCTTGGTGTCAAAAACCATTACAGATAACACAAAACCAATCTTGATAATACAAGTCATTCAGAAATGATGCAACTAATGATTGGACCTTAAAAGAAAATAAGGCTTTTTATTTGTGTTTTAGACAACTATTGCCAATATAGGCTGAATAATAACTAACTAAATTACCTTTTTAAATACATAAAAAAAACATATTGTAAACAGACAGACAGAAAGACACACATACAGAAATACACACACTCAATTGAAAACACATGTACTCTATAAACTACAATATGAATTTGCGGAAAATGTTACTATTTTGACCAAGTTTTAAATCTTGAGACTGTGAAGTCATGCAACCACTTGAGTGGAGACAGCAGCAAACTCTTAAAAACTGAACTTGACACCACGGTGGCAAAGGTCATACAGCTCGTCTTAAAATGTTGTTTTGTGATTTCGCAGACTCGTCCTGTGGGATGTGTGTGTCTCAGTGTTGTGAACTGAATGCTGAAACACACTGGTCAGGCAAATTCAAACTGAATGATTTGCCGCACCATGGATTTAGCATCACTTTTACACACTATCTGCAACTCTGAGTCACAAAAGATATTGCACATGTGTTAAAGACGACTAACGGTACGTCCACACGGTTCCGTCGCGTTGAAGCTTCCCGGGGGCGTGTCTGGCGCACAACCAACAACCAATCACATTAATCTCCCGCCCCGGACACACAAGCACGCGGTTTGATTGGCTAGAGCTTGTACTGGCATATGATTTGATTGGCTGGCGCTTCCGTCGACGCTTGAAAAGTTGAACTTTTCTCAACTTTCGAAGCGAGCAACGGAGGCAAAGCAACGGAGGCAAAGCAGCGGAGGCAAAGCAACGGAGGCAAAGCAACGCGACGGAACCACAATGCAGTTCGGCAAAGCTTGACGTCACCCCATTCAGCACGCGACGGAACCGTGTGGACGTTACGTAAAGGTTTTGTGCAGTTAGCCTTTTTTTGCTGCAATTATCTATGGGGCTAACTAGCGTTGTGAAGAGTGCCACTTCTATCCATACCTCCAGAAGGAAGAGATGAAAAAAGAAGAAAGGGAAAAATATCAGCCAATTATTTGGAAAAGGAAGGAGGAAGAGAGAATAAATACATACATATAAATCAAATGTGTTCTATAATTATCATACTTTTATTCATTTATTTTCATGTATTTTCAATGTACGGTAGGGTTATTCATTTAACATTCATGACACAACTGTCATTGAAGCCCACAGTTAGCTAAATAGCTTATTAGCTAACACCAATGATATATTATTATGCACTCCAGTGACGCAAACACTATCGCTAAAGGTGCCCTATTAGGCTCATTTTCAGGTGCATATTTGTATGTTGTGCCTCTACTGTGACATGTTTCCATGCTTTAGTGTCCAAAAGTGCCTCATGTTTCTCATACTGCCTGTGTTGCAGCACCTCTCCACCTCTGCATGTGAATACACCCAACAGAGTATATCATATATTCTGACAAGCACTCCTAATTTATTACAAACTACACAATTCCAGGTAAAACACTTAACCATTGTTTTACATTGAACCACATTGGGTAAAGTTAACTTATGTATGACTCAATTCTTGAACTCTTGAACGGGCTGTTTAAAGCCAGCATAGACACCCTCCCTTTTGCTTGTTTGTGAGATAAAGATAAAGCTATTGAACAAGCTGTTTCAAACTAGACGGATAAGCTGTCCCTTAAGCCTATGTTTGTTTGTACAGTAAATGTCGGCTTCTGAACTCCGGGACCAATTTAAGCCAACAGGATCAGTGGTCCCATTAGTCTCTATTGTTTGAGCAGTGTACTTACTCATCTACTGAGCAGACAGCAACTTGCCAAGCTATTGTTTTTGCGCCTAAGAGTGGAGTTTGTCATTTGACTGATGTTGTAGGGGAAAACCTAATTACAGGTGCACAGTCAGTGCAGCGAAAGTCAACTATTGGTGCTCGAGAAAAAATTATAAATGGGACACCAGAAGTATTGCGGCCTACTTTAGCAAAGTGCTTACTGTACATGTGCAGTTAATAACACCTCAGGCAGAGCTACAATGAATCTAATATCTACAAAAGGTTTGTCTCTTACAGTCCATATAACTAGAGTAGTGCATCACATCCTGTGCAATCGTCTTCCTGTAATTCCCAGCTTTCTACAATGAACACGTCACTAGCAGACGTGTGGAAGTGTGGGGGTGTTAGAAAAAGGCAGCGAGCCATATCTCTGCTTTCCTGCTTACCTTAGAGGAGGCTCATTGTCTGCAGCAACAATGTTTACTAGCTTGTGAAAAAAGCAATACTCGCTGTGTTTGCTCTGACACCAGATAGACTTCGGCTGGAACTCAGAGGAAATGCCATCAGAGACCCTGGCTGCAGTCAGTACTAAGAGAAGCAGCCTGGTTACTTTAGGCATACTGCATCTGAGCGGGGGCAGAGCCATCAACCTGCTACCTTGGCTGCTTTAAGACATTTGGGCCAAAATATCTCTCCTTGCAAACGCATGCCTGTATAGACAGAAAAAGAAGGCTCAGCAGAATATGCTAACAACATCATGTGTATCTTCTCTTCTCAATGCCAGATCTAGCTGCTTGCTGCTAGCCCTCCTTCGCTCACTGGCTCCATCTTACTATACATCATCCAATCTCCTACTTACTGGCAACCCCCTCCCTAAATTCAGGAAATGAATATTGCTCAGTCCTCCGGGCGCTGCTCACGGCCAATCCAAGAAAATATGAAGGGAGTTACAACATCCTGGGTGAAACGTTAACATTGAAATAGCTAATAGCAGCCAGCGTTGCCCCCATGCCCCTGACCATAAAGGATCATCTTTAAAGGGACTGCCCTGAGCTACACATTAGCTGCTTACTGTCACAGTAAGATTCACATCAAACACTGTAGAGGAAGAGGGTCTTGCCATCAGGTTCTTCCCATTAGCCCACCTGTTCCACTCTCCGCCGCAATTACACCATGCTGCAGTGGCCGCACCACATGAAAATGTCAACATGTGGATTGCTCATTAATATGAAGCTTTGCACATGATTAATTTGAAAGTGGTCTAATAGCCCGGGGCGCAGATGGCAGTTGCCGACTTCATCTCCTCCTCAGGGGCGGAGGTGAAAGTTGACGGCTGTTTGCACCCAAACATAAGTCAGGTAGTGAGCATGGGGATAGAGGGGCAGCAGTTCACTATTGATCTGGAGGCAGGGACGTGCATAAGCTCTCGAGGTGTTCATTGAGCTACACCTGTGCCTCAGTAAACACACTATTTACTGTACATCTGTGTGTACACACTAGAAGAAGCAATCTGGGGCTGAACCACTTTCCCAAGTCTGCGAAAAGCTTTTAATTCCTTCTCAAAACTGGAGATCTGCGGCGTGTTTTTCATTTTTAATGATTTGTGGCCAAATTAATTCAAATCAAATCAAACTTCTCCCTTGAGTGTGCCCCCAGGCTAAGGCTAGGACATTGTCGAAGTTAATAATAAATGTCTGTCAAAGGATTAAATGGCTGAATAAAAATTGAATGCCTCATGTACATCCCATGAAGTCAGATGCACTTTACATTGTAACTAATCGTTGATGTGCTTCGCCTCGCAGGCTTATTTCTAAGAATCTTTGCTCAACAATCAATTACTAACTTCTCCTCCTTATTGATGCATGAAATGGAGCAATTACATTTTGGCTCTAATTTCACGACAGATCACACTGTGCTTGGCCTTTGGGACTCACTTTCTATATGAGTTACTACATAGTGTATACAGCATTGTTACTCTACTATAGCAGACATTGCCACCATCATTGAGGCAGTACCATCATACAGTATATCCGACTACATTCTTATCTCTGCATACTTGTCAATTAAAGCAGTAGCTTAAATTGAACATTATCTTTTGGCCTTGTAAAGACTGATTACTGCTTCTGTACATGAACGACTTTGTCCCAAAGCGGGGAACCGAAGAATCCAGACATTAATCAATAATGTCACAGTCAAGTATAGCCTCAAGCTCCACCATCTATAGTGGGGTGAAAAAACGGATGTAATCAC